GCACTACGGCGCAGGGCGAACCAGGAACAGCGCGAAAACGGCGCGTACAATGCAATAACATCATCTTTTCCTGCCATGCCTTTTCCACGACTCCTGTTCAAACCACAAGAGCCTAATAGCATGGTAGATACACAGTTTCGTGTGTTTGCAACCTCTGTGTTCTCTATCATCAGCAAATGCCGCAGAAACCGCGCAAATCATAATTTAACACTTTCACAGCGCCGCGGCCTGCGTGAGATCCGTGATCTCTGCAACGCAGGCGAGATCAAAATTTCTGTGAGCGATAAAGGAGGGGAGTTCGTGGTCGTTTCACGTGAACTGGACATGGCAATGACACGAAATCATCTGGCGGATCGCAGCGTTTACCAACCTTCCTCTGCCGATGAATTTAAGAAGCAATATCGCCGTCTCAATAGGGTTTGGTCAGAAACAGCTCACTCTGCAGGCTTACCTAAAAGTATAATAGCGCGTTTAAAATGCGAACTGCCTGTCTGCCCAGTCTTGTATACGCTTATCAAAACGCACAAACCTCCCGCCGCAGGTCTTTCGTCAAACAATGCATGCGATTTCAAAGTAAGGCCAATAATCAGCAATGTTGGAGGTCCAACAGATAGGATCGCGTGGTTTATCAATCTAATCTTGACGCAGCTATTACAGTATATCCCTGCACACCTCTCTAACACTGGTATGCTACTCGACCGCCTCCGCAATACGCAGTTTAGCTCTAACTCCGTTATAGAGTCGTTTGACGTTACTTCGCTCTATACCAATGTGTCAAACGATGACGCAATGCAAGCTATCTGCGAGCTTCTATCTCAGCATCAGTCCTCACTGCGGTTGTATGGATTTACCATAAACACCTTGATGACCCTTCTAAGCGAGTGCTTGAGTTGTAACGTCTTTAGATGGTCGGGCCATTACTATAAGCAGGTAAGGGGACTAGCAATGGGGCAACGTTTAGCACCAACACTTGCCATTGCTTTCATGTCTAAGGTAGAGGCGCCAGTGCTAGAGCGCAAGCCGCTGCTGTACTGCCGTTATATAGATGATTGCTGCATAGTTTGCCCTTCTCAGACCGAGATGGACATATGTTTCCGCACGCTTAACGAGCAGTATTCCAGCATTAAGTTCACCAGGGAAAAGCCCCACGAAAACTGGCTTGCGTTTCTTAATGTCCAAATTCATCTGGCGGGCGGGGAGTACAAAACTAGGTGGTACCGCAAACCCAGCTGCAAAAATATCTTGGTGCATTATTCGTCTGCACACCCTCGCAAGACCAAAAATTCTATCATTGCAAATATGTTCAAAACAGCAGCTCGAGTCTCATCTGGGAGCCAGGAGCGTGCCGTATCTTTGAGCATGGCTTCCCAGATCGCCAAATCAAATGGCTACTCAGATGGCTGCTCTACCCGAAGACGCGGCTCTTTGAGCAGTAGGATCGGTCCAGCTTCCATAGCGGATAAGATCCCTTTCTGCTTGCCGTTCGTTTCGGATGAACTTAGCAGGGCAGTGCGGCGGTGCGTACAACGCGCGGGTTTGCAAGAGGCCGTTAGAGTGGTCGATATACCACCCCCAGATTTGAAGCGCCGACTGGTTCGCAACCGTATTTATGACCGTATTTGTTTAACTCCAGGTTGTGTAATATGCCCATATAGCAGAGAGGGTGATTGTATGGTGTCAGGAGTGATTTACCGGATCACATGTTTATCATGTGGAGACACCTACATCGGAGAGACCGGGCGCCCTCTTTGTGTTCGCATCAAGGAACATCTAGATGGGCTTAATAAATCAAGGCCCTCCACACCACTGGGGCAACATCGAATAAGCCGTCATGAAGGTGCTGAAGTCCAGATTGCAGTGAAGATCTTATCATTTGAGCCCGAACTCCTGGCACGCAAAACGTTAGAAGCTTTTTGGATTGCTGCGAAAAATCCAAAAATGAACAGAAAAGATGAGTGCCTTGCAATCACCACCGAACTCGCGTCTTATCAGGCCCTCTGTGGGTTTGACTGAGGTCAGGTCACTCAGGCGTATAAATAGAGGTTGGAGGTACAGTTTTGCATCAGTTGGTCTGTTCTCCAGCTACCGATTGTGCTGCGTCTAAGGTGAGTATGAGTTCTTGTGGCTCTGATAATGTCTTTGGCTAATCTCCTCGGGTTTGTTTTGTTCCTGGCACTTGACGTCTGAGTGGATAGACACTTATGACTTCGTCTTTCCAGGCTCCGAAGAAGGCGTAGATCGCCGAAACGTCGACGTCAGCCAATAAAAAGTTATCATAACAATCTTGGTCAAGCTCAGCAATCTCACCGAAAAGTGCTTACAACAATGCCAAGATTCAAGGAAAGCCGAACCTTCACTATACTAAGAAATCGGACCGCCACTGTGGTAGTATTATTGTATTCTACTGTACTCTGAGCAGCTCATAAAGTCAGCTGTACGAAAGCGCAAAGATTGCGTTAAAGGGCATAGTTTTGAGAAGAAAGTAAAATGCCGACCTTAGCAAGAGCAAAGTTTTTCTTGTGTTGATTCTGCCAGGAGCCACCACTCCAATTTTTTGCAAAGTCATTAGATCATTTATCTTTTTTTTCTAGAAAGCATTGAAAAAATTGTCTGGTATGCTAAGACCTCGTGCCTGAGTCATTGCGTCTGTAAAAAGGCTTTCCAGCAATCACCTACTCAGTGCAAAGTGTTTTTCGAAGCAATGTGAGCTATCATTCTTACAACAGAGTATTGTTTTTGCTGATTGGGGTCTCGCGGTTGCTTTTACGATGACGATGGTCATATGCAGTAAGTAAGCAGTTGATTGAGGAAGTTGAGCTACTTAAACGCATGGCAAATGCGTCGCTGCAATCTAATGCTGTTGGGTTTGGAAGCAAATAAGACGAAATCTTAGCATAAAATAGATAAAAGTCAATCAGTTTATTGATATTACAGTAACAACAATCGCGGAGCTTGCTATACTACATAATTGAGCCAAGAAAGTAAACTATGGATAGTTTTTTCTTTTCTTCTGCCATCCAACGCGCGTTCTTTGTAGTTTGCAGTCTCAGCTCTGATCGAATGAGAGTTCAACAGCGGCTAATTCTATCACTGAAAAACCAGTTTTCATCTAATCAATTGACTGTTATCAGCAGTATCCATCGAGTGCACAACATTGTTTGTACCGAAAACAAAAAATATTAGGGTTACTGTAGCTATTGTCCTATGTGAAGCACTCTGAACCAATTAACATCAACATGAGAATTTTTTGAGGTGAATGATTAACTTGGAGCGGATGTGAAAACAACTTAATGTGGGAGAATTTGGGAACAACATGTAGGCTTGAGAATATAAGAATCCGGCTGGGTCGTAGTCATTGTCAGATTTTACCACAACGGTCATTTTTTTGTTGTTTTTTTTTTATAGAAAGCTGATATGATGCCTCTGACACTGACACAAACGTCATAACTGTTTGTTTCTGCCACTGACATCATTGATGTTATCATCGTCATCGTTTCATGTGCAAATTTCTTTGTCCCTAGCTCTGTCAGGTCGGTTCGTCAACTCGCTCGCTCATCGCGTGTGTCCCATATGCTTGTTTTCTAACCGGAAGTTAGCGGGTCGGTAATTTTGATGTGATCGAATTATACTCGCGGGACCTAAGTTGTTTCAGTGTTCAGTGAACGAGCGAGCATAAGACTGCTTAAAGCAGGAAAAAACTTAATTGCATCTGCTTCAAGACAGACGCATATACTGTGCGTGAAAAACCACACTCATGAGATATGAAAAAGAGTGAATGTAATGGGTGGGGGGGGGGGGAGGAGGGGGGGGGGGGGAACTATGCAGTGGTTGGGATACTCAAATGTTTTACTTGAAAGAGAGGAAATGGAGCTTAGTATGGTCATTTATTGAATTCATTCCATTGCGAATGTTCTAGAAAACCTTAAGATAATACCTAATAGCTATACGCTTTCTCCTTTTTCAAATGCACTTCCACAAAAATGCAATATTATATCCAAGTCATCAAAATAATTAGGAACTCACTCTTAGTGCTAATATGATAACTAACTATGATAAACAAAAACCCACTTTCTTCAGAAGCAAAATTGGATAGATCCCCATTTATATCTCTCCTATCATTAAAGAATTTCTAGAATTGATAAGAACTTATAGAGCCAGAATAACTGCTTCAATGGTCCTTGCTTCAATATGCTTCGTCATCATAGTTTAGATAAGATTACACCATGCTTGATATACACGTATATCATTGGAAAGTGTTCGTTTTCCTTGCCAAGCTCTTTCCTCTCGGGGATCAGTGGTTGGCTTCAGTTTGTGGTTAATTCTTCTTATCAATGTTTTTGAGGAAGCTAGAGACAAATGCTTGGTGTTCGTTACCTCATGACTGCTACTTTTTTGCAAAAGCCTCTCCAACAAATTTTTCTGCAGAACATCATCACACTCCCATGCTGACGATATAAGTCTTTGTACTACGCTGCGATAAGGACCTTCGTAGGGTGTAATAGCAGCGAAAACAATCACACGTGACCATTTTGACATTTTGCACTTTGTGTGGTCCGTGCAAGGGCGTATCACCCCGTTTCAGGTGCAAATGCGGCCTTGATAAATAACACCTTTCAATGTCAGCAGCTGGTTTGTGCAAAAAAGTGTGCTTTCAGCCTTACTCCACGTGAAAATGCACATAGTACATTCTGATTACAAGCCAGTTAAGAACACATGACCGAAATCTTATGTGGGCACTGATGCGGATGCCTTTTAAAATAGATATTCTACCAGAGTCGAATTTTTCCCAGCTGAGAGGCTCTTCATTGTTGATCTTCAAACTTTTGAGCAAATACCTTCGCTCCTTATCTCTCAGATTTGGTCAGCTTGATCCCTTCCTTATTTTTTTCATACACCCCCATTTACACTCCAAGGTGACCTATCGTGTATCATGTTGTGGTTCTTTGATCGTCCCGCCCATTCCCTTTAGTATAATTGGCCTCTCCTCCATTCTCCACCCAACCCACAAGCGACCGCGCTAGAACGTTCTACCGATTCTCGAGTGTTCGTCATGAGACCTCGTACGTGTAGCATCTCGCTTTTCGCAGATAACGCAAAAATGCTAAAAACTGAGCCAATCCCATGTCTCCGCTGTGGCAACATCGGATCACCATCAGGGTAAGGAATATTACATGTAAGCTGTTAGAATGAAATTGCCTCATAATTCAAAATGTTGGTGTAAATAAGCCAGGATAATAAAATTTGATTATTTATTTATTTATTTGTGCATAGGGATGCCCCTATGAAATTATAATAAACACATCTCGATTTGGAATTTCTTGGTGGTTGCTAATATTAGCACCAAATCTCTTGTTTTCAGCAGTCTACCGTTTTCTTTGCACAAAGTTTCCTCTATCAACCGCTCTTTCGCTGGGACAAATCCAGGAAGTCGTGGAGATTCATCGCTGGAGCTTGAAGCTATAGGTAAGCTTCCTTGTCAGCATCTTGTTTTCCAGTAGTTTCCCAGTAGTTCAGTTTGTTTATTCCTAATATTATTTTTGATATGTTTAGCGGCTGTTCATGAGCTATCATTTGCCGTGCAATCAATCAGCGTCTCCGAAATGCTTCCTCGTACTCCCGACCTCATCTTTGTGAACCTTACAACCATCGAAGGTTAGTTAGTGAGTCATACACAATGCTATAGAAGAACTTGTCATTTCAGAGCAACCATTCTGCTTGGAACTAACTCACAAAGGTTGGCGTATCACCTCACTCCGTCTCGACTGTATGGTTGGCGACTTTACTCGCCTCGAGCTGTTCACCAAGTACTATGACTCATTATTTTCGCTAATGGACACGATATCACCCGGTTATCGTGCACGATTTGGCGAGAAGCTAGCGCTAAGACTGAAAATGCTTGAGGTTGGTCTATTTCGCAAAGTATGTTCCTATGCGCTCTGCAAAAATGGTAGCGCCATCGCATACAGCAAAGCTAGATAGCTACCGTTTACGTGACAGCCCACAATCTTCCTTGACAGGAAGTTATAATTAGACCTTATGTGCGACATGTGCGCACGATAGAGAGAAGGTGTTGGGAGTTTGCGCGTGATAATCCTTTAGTCTCTGATTTGTCGGTCAGCACGTAATGATCTTATCATAATTTGATAAGATTAATTTGCTATATGTAGCGGTAGTGATGGAATGACGCATGTAAGTGCAGATGATGCAAACATACAATATAAACTTTGTGGAAGACTTCACTTAATTTTGTACAATCTTCGCAATGCTTGGTTGTGAGTGACCTGCGATTGGGTCACGCAAACCTGGACTCTGTAAGATGCGATCATAGATGACACTCAGCTTAATTTCATGGAGCTGCTCAATTACGACCAGCTATCAACTTAGAGGTTGAAACCAACAAAGATCACAAAGCAACGGACTTTGAAATTTAACTCACGCGATCAGTGCAAAACTTCCCTGGTCGGCTGTTTTCCAGTCACTAACTTCTTCATATTTCAGAACGGTGACGAGTCCGGAGCTGCACCATGTGGTAGCTATGCATCTCTCCCATTGAGTCGCGACTCGTCTCAGTGCTCCTTCGTCTCTTTACCGGACGTTACACCAGCAAATCCTGCAAAATTTAACGCCAAGATTACGTTAAAGTGCTGATGCTTGCTTTCGTCTTATCTGTCCCCCCAAATGATTTTCTTTAAACGGGTTGTCGGATCAAAAATCCGCTTGATTTATCTAGTCATAGTATGACTATGTTTTGTTTTGCTCAGAAAAACGCGCTCAAAGTGCGTCCGCTCGTTTTCTTTTACGCGTATAAGTTATGGTTTGATATGTATCGACAGAGACTTGATCTAGGACCGGCTACACTAACTTTTTAATTTCAAGTTCTCGGTGATCTAAGGCGCATTTTGGCGCTTTCGTTTGTTTTAGGTGATTGTGTTTCTATAGCACTTCTTGGGGCAAGTGATAGTGTTTACCCCTATTTTGGGTGTTATGTACTTTTCCTTTGCTCTTCCGTGGCATTAGTTAAGTGGACAACATCTATATTTATTTTACGGGTTCAACTGATTTACCCTAGCATATATAAAAGTTTAGATCACATCTCAAATTAGGTTATATCCAGGAGCGAGCAAGATGTGGCACACAATCGCCGGATACGACTCCTCCCCTCCTTCCTCCCTCCCTCACCGGCATTATCGTTTGCCTTCTATAAGCATAATATAAAAACTCTACCAGGCGTAGTTGGTAACACATTCATAATCATCATGTTGGACGACCCCCATGGGCCAAGTTTTAACAAATTCTAAGGGTTCCCCGATTTTAGGCCACCCAACTGAAGTGGTCATTTTCAAATATGATTAACTATATTTCAAAAGTAAATTAGCTTTCTTTGCACTCAATGCAAAGCACTATCCCTGTTTTCCATAACTTGAATCCTGTTTCAAGTAACTACCAAACTATGGATTTAGAAGCAGGCCAAACTCTCGTTTTTCCCATTTTTCGCTTCTAATGGTGGGTGTGATTTTATCGACTTTTACTTAGACCAATATTTCTGTTAAAATCAAGAGATTCAAGCTGTCGAATGTGTATATTATGTTCGCTATAATTTTTTTGGAGGTAAACTAATAGAATGGGCACAACCCCAGAGAAACAGTGGCTGCTACACCTTCTTAGGGTTGTGCTACACCATTAACTGGCTTTCAAAACATTCAGGTATCTATCTTTTCTATATGGTTGCTGCTGCTAGACTTTCCTTTCCATATATCAAGATTATCAATCAAAACCGTTTCTCCTATGGGAAAATATATCGTTTTTTTCTTACTTATGCAAATGCGTATATATGCAAATACCTATGCAAACCAAAACACTGCGAAAATATTGGATTACTGTACATGCTAATTCTGCGCTACTACGTAAATTGCGTGGGAAGGCGGCAAGAACAAAATACTCTATAGCATAATCTTCGTAACTTTTGCAAAGGTAATTTGAGTCTGACTGGTCTCCTCTGGTATAAGATAGTGAAAGCGAAAAATGGAAAATGAAATTTTAGCTTGCTCTTGATTCCATAGTTTGAAGGCTATTTTGTGTGGGACTCCTAAGATGAGCAAAAAGTAGTAGTTCTTTATACTAAGTGACAAAAAACGTCAGCTCATCTCACTTCTCTCCCTGACCCCTCAGTACGACCCCCAGATGTGATGTGCCACACTCAACGGTTGCCCCTGGTTATACCTCGTTAGGCCTATATTTTATTGTGCTTGTATCCTTGTATTATTTTGTGTGATTCTTCATTTATAGCACTTATACAAGAAGTTATTACGCTCTGATATCTGAGCATAAATGTATATCCGTATTGTTACTGTTCACATACTAAGTTGTAGTGTAATGTGGTCGTGGAAGTTTCCGTCTGCACTACATTAAGATTTATTTCAAAATGCATATCATTTTTGCAACTTAATGATAAGAAGTTGACGGTTGAAAATATGTAGGAAAGACAAGGCTTAGATCACGCAAGATTGTCTAGCAACGTTTCGAATGCACACGGCAGGAAGGAAGCGAAGATTTTGTCCATGAACACAAAATAGTGTAATCAAAGGGCACTTGGATAATTTCTTTCAAAAAACAAATGAAATGCTGTAAATTTCGCGAAACATTCTCGGGGGGGGGGGGGGGAGGGGATCGCGCGGCGGCCTTCCTCCCGAGAATGGGTCGCGAAATTTTTGAAAGTTACTAAACGTGTTATAAAAATGTGCAGAGGACTTGTTTTTACTTGTAAATAATTAAAATGATTCTTGAAAATTTTTTTAAAAATTCAAATTAGCCTTGTAAAAAATGCCGCCACGCCCCTTTTTTCTGAAGTTTTGGGGCTAGGGCCCCGAAGAATTTTGGGAAACATCCCAAAAATTTTTTCGGAGTGCGTGACTGTCATTTCGTCGCCTCCCTCTCCCCCCCCCCCCCCCCCCCCTCCCCCTCCTCCCGAGCCGAAATCCTGGGTACGCCACTGATTTAAGGCGATAGTAAATCGAGAACTAGCGAAATAAAATTGAATGGTATTGTTCATATCTTGAAAGTCAAAAAGTGTGAAAGTATTATTAGGACTTTGTTAACTTACATGAGATTATTTGACAATATAAATGCGAAAAGTTTCCATGCAAGAGACGCGCATTGTCTCTAAGTACTCCTGTAATATTGCTGATTGTTCGATGTGAGTAAATTAACACTCTTGGTTGGAGACCTCTCAGTTCAAGAGTAATTATATTATTAAGAAACCTATTTTGCTACGTAGTATATATGCCTTAGTAATCAATCCACAGCTCCAACAATACATCAGTTACGTTTTTTTTGCCCACGCGTTCTACCACTTTAGATAAACGGGAATTTCTATGTTAGTAGAATTACAGCTGCCGCAAACGGCAGCTGCGGACATCAAGAAAGAATAAATAATGACAATCTCTAGAAAAGTACGTCTTGGTGGAGAGTAAGCAATCATTGCTGATTCTGCTCGTCAAATCTTTTTGCCTAAAGATCACTCCGTATGTGGAACTTCTATGTTATTTATAGCACAATAAAGTTTTCAAGATCTGGTCAGTTAACACGTTTCGAACCAAAGTTCTGAGTGAATTTGAAGTGTTTGAATTTTTCGCTTGAGACAGACTTTTGTGTTTTCTTTAAAGATAGGAGTAAGAACTCAGTTCCAAATAGTATTCAAAAGTATCTATGTTGTACACGGTACACATCATTATCAAAGCTAAGTTTTTCTCTTTGGAGTCGAAGAGCAAAGGAAAGTAACGACGTCGCACGCGTCGTTCGCGTTGCCGCACTTCGTTGCAACTGTTGTTAGATTTGTCCTCATATCTCCTAAACAAATATACGCGGCACAGCTCTACAAAATCATTTGAAAAGAAAGAGCTTATGCCTTTGACTTGATAGCCTTGGACAAAAAGAAAACCTCTTGTAAACGTTAAAAAGCCTTCAATGCCGCGTGCTGCACCATGTGCAGCACCGGTCCGAAACGTGTTAAGGCAATTTCTTGTTGGTTGATTTTGATAGAGACAGCTCTAGAAACATTCCTTGACGGATCTCGGATTGCTCTTTTCAAGGATTCAAACTTTTAAGTGCCATATTTGTGAAGTCTAGAAAAGGCCTGGATGTCAAAAATTGGAAGGGATTTGCCCGGACGCTGCCTTCAAGAATCATGCAGATTAGGGGCACAGCTTTTCTTGGAAATCAGCCCTTCCCTTTCCATCAACAGGTTTTGCTTAAAGTTTTCAGTGACAATGATTTTTTTGGTATCACAAAACATTTTTAAAGAATCAACCTCTTTCATTGATTTTTCCGATTTACTGCTTTCTGCAGTTCATGGGGTGATGGAAATCGCACATAAAAATGGTTTTAATCTGCTTTTCAGATATTTGATCGTAAGCAGTTGAGTCCAATTAGTGGTAACATGCCTAGGTTCGGTTACGTCAAACTTTTTCTGAAAAGGCTGGCGAGCATTTACGTTAGAATGACTCTTGGAGAAAGTAGAGTTACCTGTACCGAGTTTATGAGCAAAATCATTTACCATCAACCTTGGACGTTGGAAGAATCCCGAATATCGAGATGGGATTTGAGGATGAGATAAGATGAGGGAAAACCTCGGCTCAAAATTTTGTAGAAATTGCATAAAAATAACTGCGAGTTTGGAAAAGTGGAAAGTCTACAATGGCTTATTGCTGGAAGCAGATGAAGAGAGTAAGCAAGCTAGAAGAATTCCAACATAAAAATTTCAAAAAAATGTGAGGACATCCAGTATTTTATCAAAAGTGGTAGAACAAATTTAACACTACTGAAATGACGCTAGAAAGGCTAAGCAAACGCCTCTACATGAACTTTAGGAAATTATTGGAAGAAACAAGCAATAAGAGGAAACGATTGGAAAATTAGGGTTACTCAGGCTCTGTAGGCATGCTTTCCAGAATATTTTGAATTTGAAAATCAAAAAAAAAGGTTTGATGCGTAAGTTTCAAAGAATGTGGGCAGTAAGAAACTGTGAACTTTTTTCAGAAGAGACTTCGGGAGGAAAAAGATGCTCTTAGAGGAAGCCTTTATGAATACTGGGAAGGGTGGGAGGTATGGGGTGGAGGAGAAGGTTTTGAACGCAATCGGGCAAAAAGAGCTTTTTGCTATTCTGCAGAGCACGGTTTGAAATCATTAGCACCCAAATAAGTACCCGCAGGATTAAACGCCTTTGCTTGCAGACAATAAATCATCTTTTTACATCATCAATAAGCGATGTGCTTCAAGGAGACGGAATGTTCTAGGAGAAGCTGAGTTGTATTCGTATTTTGTGTGTCGCAAAGTTTACTAAAACCTCAGGCATATGCTGTCCTCACTACCAGTTTGGTCGAAAAATCGAATGGCCCGATATTCCCAGAATGTGTCCATAGGAGTTATCTGACCTGTTGAATGTGAAAATCATATCTGATTTAAAAAATAGCGTCTTACTTCAAAGTTACGGTAGACTTTTAAGATGAACACAAATTACTCCGGAGTTTGCTAGCTAGTTGCGGCCTTACATACATCAAAGGATTTTCTGCGCCGTTATTTGCTACTTGAACCTGGGGAAGCTGCTTTATCGAACAGTTTCTGTGAGAGCTCTTTATCTACGGGGAGCGCTGCCTTGATTGAGTTCATAACGAGAAATACAAATGTGCGGAAATGCATAGCCAATTTCTCAGTTGAGGAGCCAATTACAGATATGAAATTGTTGCTTCTAAGGACAACATATTTCTTCTAATATGATCAATATCTTCTCAGCTGTATTCCAGATTTTACTACTACTATAGCTATTCTTTTACTCTAGGGCAAATGAGTAGCCTGGGTCCTTCATAACAACGATGAATCTGAAGAGGAATCAAAGATATTGAATTTTTCCCGAAAATTCCACGAGAACCCATTACAACAGTAAACTTCCAAATTTTTACCTTTGGGTTCCTGCACGGAGTTGTAGTCTTAGCCAATCTATGAACGTCATTCTTCTTGTTCGTCGTATTTGGCCGTAAAAGAGTTGAAAGTATATGATCCTGAACTCTTAGTCTGTCAATGAAAGTTCACTCTTGTGCAGTTCATGCTTTTGACATCGGTCTACCTTTCCATTTTTGGCATCGTGTGGTCGTCAAGCCGAAAAAAAAGACAGAGTGCTTTGTGATTTTTTTTCACCCTCATTGTCGTGTGCTGACGCAGAGTCCATGCGACCTCAACAACACGCTAAACCCTTTCGTGAGCAATTAAATTAAATTATTCATTCTCGAAAGAGTGAAGCTTTGCTC